CATATTTAGGACTTGTCCTATTACGGCTCTTCATTCCATCGCACGTAAACAGGAAACAAACAACAATAACGAAAATGGTTCCGCTTAACATAGTATTCAATCTCCTCCGTATTCTATTGCATAAATATACTCGATACGAAATAATTAAATTGCCATTAATGTGAATTATGCCATAAAATTTTCAATATGATTAATTAATTAATTGAAACATGAAATAAAATTAATTGTTTTTACTTGACTATGTAAACATGTAGGTATTTGTATAATGGAAGGACATACTTTAATAAAATGAAACATTTCGGAGAATAAGTATCTACTACGCAAATGTTCATGTGATGATTGCAGTAAGAATACAATGAGCCACCACTTTTTTTCTTTCCCGTAAGGCAATAAAAAACTACTAAATAAAAAAGCACAATACGCTAGTGTAAAAGAAGGGAAAATCGAAATAAAACTCACCCGACTAGTGTAATATTATTAGTCTAGAATCCTCCTCTTATGGTGAGAATCCGATGTCCAACAGTGGGATAATTAATGGGTTATTAAGGTAAAGTTAACGGCTTATATGTATTATTGCGATATAACTTGAAAAAGGTATCGTAACTTAATTTTTCATGTATTAGTATCAATAGATTCTTTGTCGAACTAATTTGGATAATGAACTTGAGACAACTCTGAGTTGGGACTTCAGGTCTTTTTTGTGTTTTCTTGCAAAACAAATATCAACATGATGTCAGTCTAATTGTACAACATTTATTATTACTGTTGTTACACACAAATGGCTTCATTTCTTATTGGTGAGATTTTGTACATAATATATTTTCTTGTCAGTTAGATTGTCAGACTATCTCTCAGCATTCTCATATATCACAAAGGAATTAAAATTATGGCGAAAATCACTTTCAAAATGAGATTGTCTTTTAAGCATTTACGACAATTTTCTCGAATACATATTAAGACGAAATTTTAACACGAAATTAAGAAGAAATTTTAAATGGCTCTAAATTTTATTATTTAAATTACTGTAAAGAAGATATTTCGAAAATAAAATCAGCGCCCAGTCAATATATACTTTATATAAAAGGTCATCATCATCATCATTTCAGCTGTTATCTGGTCACTGCTGAACAGGCTTCCCCCATATAATGCCATAAGGAATAGTCCTGAGCCTCTTGCATCCACTATTTTCCTGTAATGCATTTGATGTCGTCACTCCATCTAATAGAGGGTTACTAGACACTGCGTATATCTGTACGGAGTCATCACTCAAAAATCTTTCTTCCCCATGGGTTATCGGTTCTTCGAGCTTTATGACCAGCCCATTGCCACTTCAGCCTGCTTATCCTTCGGACTATGTGAACCAATTTAGTTCTACGAATATCATTTCGGATTCTATCGCACAAAAAACCCCGAACAGCCCACTGCATATTTCACTAAATAACTTAAAGTTTTTACATACAGACAACATTTCCTACAACAATTATATGATAATAATTGAAAGATTTGGAATATTTCCACGTAATAACTGTAATGAACTCTTTAATTTATCCAATTAAGTTACTTCTAAAACTATAAAATATATACAAAAACTGATAATTATATATGAAAAAAGCACAAAATTACTACGACACTAGTCATTAGTGTTTTTAAGTAACATATAATAGTAGAGCTAGGATTACAAAAAAATGTTTTGACTCTCGTTAGAGGTACATATTTGTTCCAAAATAAGGAATAGGTATTATTTTTCTGATATTGCCTTAGTTTGTTACGGGATGTATGGTTTACTTTACGACTCGAAGAAAGGAACTCGTAAAAGTTTTACGTCTACAGTTTGTGACATCAACCCCATATTAAGATCTGTCGCATCTATACATTATTGGTTAAACTAGAAGGAAATCTCGCGGCCCTACTCGCACTAATCTCATATAAGTATTCGTGCCGTGAATACTTTTAAAAACCCTTTCATCGTGGATGCCTAACTTTATTGTACATATTCTGCTGACCATTTTATTAAAAAAAGTATTTTTGGTTTTTAAAGAATGTCAGATAAAGAAAAGAATAACGTTAAAAGAAACTGCACAAAAATGGTCTGCTTAAGGTTGCCTTTGTTCTAATCCTATTTCTTGTATCGAGCAGCTTGCATGGATTACATTGATGAGTTATTACAAGAAAACTAAAGAGTATAAAAACGTAATGTCATACTTCTCAGTAGTAACAATACTTGACGAGTGCCACAGCCGTCATTATCATCCTGTGATGTTTATGATTCTATTCAAATTTATATTTGGCATTTACTATTTTTGTATTTTTACATAAAAGAAAAAAAAACAGGTATTCGACACGAAAGTACAAGGGCTCAAGTACCAAGACCAGGACAGAAAGATTGTAAGGAATGCGGACTACAAATCCCATTATTAACAATATACCCTGTAAAGTAGCAATGTAACCTTCACGTAATCCTCCCTGGAAACCATCGTGCTGAATTCCAGGTGTACTCATCACGATAGGCTAAGTGACCTTTTCATTCTCATCTATCATCCCTCTCTAATGTCCCACCAGTATGTACCTCTAGTGTAGACGCGATTACCATTCCATTACCATAACATTTACATCCAATCCATAACATCCAAAAAGTCCCTCGACAAATCTAAACTGATTTATAATTACCAGATATCTCTGAAAGAATAATAAAAAAATCTCAATAAGCATAATGAGACAAAATAAACATTGAACTAATCCCATTGATTACGAGTACAAAAAGAACCAGAGGGAGACTTTGTACAAAAGTCGATTGCTTGGGTACCTCTGTCCCATTAGTGTTTCTACCGTGAAGCAGTTGTGTTTGCATAGCTGTGTTTCGGTTTGAAATGTGGGATATAGCGAGAATTTACAGGGTACAGAAGAATAACACCTGAGTCCTCAGGAATGGCAACGCATGGGAGGTATCATGGGCGAAACAGTATACTCTGTTATGTCCATGGTACTGCTCATGTCTATGGGCGACGGTTACCGCTTTCCATCAGGTGGGCCGTCAGCTTGTTTGCCATTCTAAGTTGTATAAAAAAAAAAAAAAAAACTATTAAAATCAATCATAAACATACAATAAAATCTAGCGAATTTTAAACTTCTTCCATTTTGAAATTGCTTATAAACAAAGATCTATCATTACAAATAAACAACGCATAATCCAGTAGTGGTTACGTATTTTAATTACCTCATTTTTCAATCAATACAAACATGTTTTATCATTAGAATTTTGTACAACGAACCGACGTATCTTTCCTGGGTCTAAATGATAAGATAAATGTAGATAACACCATTATCAGCTGATGCGAATAAAGTTATAAACTGATTCAGAATTACTAAGTACAGGTCAAATAAATAGCAGACCACAATGGTGTGCACAAGTTAATGAAATGGTTCCATATCTAAATATAAACTGTGTGAGACTTTTTAAAGGTTACGTGTAGATTGTAATATTTACTATGACGCTGTATATATATATACATATATATATATATATATATATATATATATATATATATATATATATATATATATATATATATATATATATATATATTATTTGTGTGTGATGCGTTTACATCACTTCAGACCGGCTGTTACCTAAGTACCTAAACACCCAAGTGACAAAACCTTTTTTGTAGTACCAAGACAAGTTTTATAGGAAATAAGTATTTAAAAAGTCTTATGAAAGACTGAAAAACATTTTACCTCTATACGAAGCCGGGACAGGCAGCTAGTAATTATGTAATGTTATAATCATGTAATTAAAATTATATAGTCTGCTATTAAAATTATATCAAACCATTAATGGTTCAGACCGGCTGTTCATCCTAAGTCCACCTAAAAACACGTTCCAAGTGACAAAACCTTTTTTTCTATACCTTTCACCAAGTTTTATCAAGAGAACGGTGTTTTAAAATGTTGAAACTCTTTATTTCTTGAAAGACTAAAAAACATTTTACCTTTCTATTTAAAATTGGGACACACAAATTAATTATCTGTCAAATGTTATAATCATGTAATTAAAATTATATAATCTGCTAAAAAATCTCGTACTTCGTTTTTTTTTTTTCACAAAAGAACCATTGGCAAACAAGCATACGGCCCACCTGATTATATCAGACTGGAACGCCTCAATACCAGAGGTATAGCGCACGCTTGCCGACCCTGACTCATCTTTGGTAGTCTTTGATTACTCGCAGGAATCATTTCCATCTCAGTTCATTTATAAATTATGAGGGTGTTGCCGATGGCGAGCCGACGATGATTCGTTAGGCATCATGAAAGTTCGGTAAATCTGTTGTATAAGCGGTAGAACACGCAGAGTGAGGCAAAATCTCCCTAAGACTTCTATATCTTTCACATGGGATATCGTATATATATATTTACCTTCTCAGTCGAGAACGGTGCTCCCGCCCATAAGTGTTTTCAAAAATGTTGATTAAACTCTTTATTTCTTAGCAAAAGACTAATTTTAAAACTTTTCCTTTCTAATTTAAAATTGAAAAATTTACATACAAATTTTCATCTAAATCAAATTAACTAGCGGCTTCACTCATCTTTGGTATTTGATTACTCGGCCCTATCTTCATCTCCTATTTCCCCGCTTTAGGGATCCTTTAAAAGCTAATCAAAATTACACACATATATATATATATATATATATATATATATATATATATATATATATATATATATATATATATATATATATATATATATATATATATATATATAAAAAGTCTCCTCATTAATGTAAATAATTAAAATAAACCGACCACGTATAGTATATTCATCGACATTAAAAAGTTATTTAATTAACAACTTTTATAATTAACTCATGTATTTATACAAATGTAGTAAATGATCGGTGATTAATTGATTCGTAATGATATTGACGATAACAGTATTCTGTACACGAGGATAAGGTTTAGATCAAACATATAGAGAATCCTAATCTGATAAAACTTGTTAGTGAAACATTATTGAACCAGTGTGACCGTACGTGTTTGGTGAATAGATTGTGTTTATATTATATTGTAGCAATAATAAGTAAATATAAAAAATGTGGGACAACGTACTTATGTTAATTGTTGTGGGTGTTTTCTCGTTTCTGTGTTGGAAAATAACTCAAAATGAACCAAATACGATTAAGTTTTATTCAAAGTTTTTATTATACTATTTGCACGGCTCTCTAGTAGGTTTTTTTGTTTGGCCTGTCTTTTTATTCAATATGAAAGATACAAAAAATGCAAGGTGAGTATCTAAAAATTTTTCTCCTGTCCACTTTTCTACTATCTAATTATTATAAACACAAACAATGCACACATTGCCAGCAAACAAAATATCTTTTTATGTATCTGTATAGTAAGTACATTGTGATTTGCAACACAATTTTAAGAGATTTATTTATTTTATTTATTCTTTACTACACAATAAAACTTTGTACAAGTGACGAGCGTAATGCCATATGGCATTCTCTACCAGCCAACCATTAAGTAAAAACAGAAAGCGTATGCAGGGCAGATGTGATGAAAAATATGTAACATAATTATAGCAACATGTTGAAATAATTCTACATAATACATAAGAAATACACATATAACACATAAATACTACTTATAATATATATAGTTAATATAATATATATAAACTATGGTAAATATTATAAGATATAGTAACTACTGAGTAACCTGTAACTAGAGCTGGTTTTGTTGACTCAACAAGTATATTTAAAAAGTCTTCTTTTAAAAATATGCTTATTGGGTGCTCTGCGTTGGTCTACAGGGATTTTATTCCAGAGCCTAGTGACGGTAAAAAATTTGGACATAAATACAGAATGGTGTGATGAGGTTACGAGAAGGAGATTGTGAGGTGATCGAAAATTACGGGAATGGGAGTCTTTAAAGAACTAAAATCTATCTTTCAAACAAGTGGGAGAGGAAGGATCATTGATAATAGAGAACAGTGTGCAAAGGATACGTAAATCTTTGCGGTTACGAATTGTCAACCATTTGAGTTGTGAGCAGAAATTGGAAACGTGGTCATACTTATGCAGCCCACAGATAAAACGAATACAGTTGTTAAGCAAGCGATCAAGCTTGTTCAACTGTTCTTGCGAGAGGTTAGTAAGACACACGTCGGCATAGTCAAAATTTGGAAGTATTAGGGATTAGACAAGGAATAATTTAGTAGACGGAGGGAGAAAAAATTTAAAACGATAAAGAGCACGTAGAATGCTAGTAATCATACGACACATTTCAGCCACTTGAAAATACCATTTAGATGATGGGTCGATTAACAGACCCAAGTCTTTGACTTTGGAGCAGAATGGAATAGCGTTGTTCTCAAAACGGAGAGATAAATGGGACACATTTATTTTAGGTAATAATTTAGAGCTGACAATAATAATTGCCTGACATTTAATCGGGTTTACTGAAATGCCAAAACGATAAGACTATCACGAAATACTGTCTAGATCTGTATTTAATTTATCCACAGCTTAACAGATATTAATCGGATCAGCCTGAGCATAAAGCTGTAAATCGTCTGCGTAAAGGTGGTAAAAGCATTTAAGATGAGAAATAATCAAATTAATAAATAAAGAAAACAGTGGAGGGAAAATAATACTGCCTTGCAGAACACTAGTTCCCAATTCATACCAGTCAGAAAAATTCTGCTCAGAACGTGTGGTCTGTTGGCGTCCGCAAAGATATGAAGAGAACCCGTTCAGTACTGATGGAGAAAAATTAAAACGGGATAGTAACGATAACAATAAATCGTGGTCGACACAGTTAAAGGCATTGGAGAAGTCAATTGGAACCAAAATAGTAAGGCGTGTGTTCTCCATACCATCACGAAGGTCTTCCGTTACTTTTAATAAAGCTGTGGTAGTGCTGTGTCCTGGACGAAAACCAGACTGAAAAGGGCAAAGAAAATTACAATTTAAGATATAAGTGGATAATTGATTATGAGTTATATTTTCGAGAACTTTTGAAAGAAATAGCAATATAGAGATAGGTCTAAAATGACTGGGAAGAGTAGAATTAGCGATTTTAGCAAGGAGAATAACAAATGCTTTTAGCCACAGTTTTGTAAAACAGTCAGTTGATAAAGAAAAATTGACGATGTGCGTAAGAACTGCGAGAATAATATCTAGTAAGAGAAGGACCATCGTTCTACTCACATCGTCATATCCTGTAGCATTTATTATGACAGAGCTACAAACAAAAGATTGTCTCTCGTTCGACTTAAAATTTAACAGTTGAATACAGAACATACAGAAAAATTGTGTACGAGAAAGATATTTCGGTATTTGGACATATATTTTAAAAATAAGTTACACAAATTGAATTGATATTCAATAGTATGAGTTCCTCGTATTTCCTATTTTTGTTTTTCCTAACTAAAGCAAATAAAACGACAGGTTAGGGCCATTATTATTTATTATTATTAAAATTAAAAGTAATTTTTTTTTTATTTCTATAAAAAAATTCAATCTTCATATTTATATAAAAAAAGTTTACTTTTAATAAAAAATAGTCTCAGATTCTATTAGTGTCTATCTCAACATTCTTAATGAATGTAAGAAAGTTAGATAATTTCTAATAAGGTGAAAATAATATTTATTAACTCACCTTAAAGGGTCACGCCATTTGATAGGTGTAATCATGTAAACAGATAAAATGTACACAAGGCAAATATGATTGTTGACCTTAAACCCGAATTTTATAATTAGATACATACTCTGTTATCACGCCTGTTTATTCAAATTATATTGATTTTAGTCTATATCAACAGCTATACCAATACTAATTATTAATAAACTTGATTATAAATAATTGTAGTGTTATTTTTTTATTCAAAAATACTTAATACTTTTTTTTTTCTTTTTTACTTACACAGTAATTTACGTAGACTACTTAATACTGTACAGTTTCAATAGTATTTGTCGTTATAAGTCTAAATGGTAAGTTAATATAAAAATTAAATAAATAAGAAATCATTTGTTAAACGTTACAGCAACAGTATAAATATGAAGAAAGGAAATGAGTGCAATCTAACCTAGTCCGATGAAACAAATAATAATTCATGAACTTGTTAAGTGTTAACAAGAATTTTGCTACCAATAACAAAACATGTATCACAAGTATTCATAAAGAATAAAACAGAATAGTTCATAATTTTCCTTTTATACGTAATTGTTGAAGTAAATATTTTACGACAACCCATGACTTATTTTAATATTTCAAATCAAAAAATATAATATTGAAAAACAATTATTTAATTACTGTTACGTATTAATTTTATAATGTTAAACTTATCGTATTATATTTATCTTATTTGTACTATATCTTATCTTGCTAATTTATACGTTTATATCATTGATTCGCCACATTTAGCACAAATAAATTAATCACTTGTTATTTCGAGAATAATATTTGTAAAAAAGACTAATACTTATAATGCCCATATTAAATGTGATCTTAAATACATTTCAATAAAGACAAACAAATAAATAAAGACATTTCAATTATCGCATTCAGTTATTTCTAACCTGCATAAGATAGTATTACTATTATTATTACAGCATCTTATATCTTAATAGCTTAATAATAACAATTATCGTAAAAGAAATTTCATATGATCAAACTTTTTCCTTCGAAAAGGTGATATATTTTTATCAGGTGATGTAATTGTTAAAATCAAGGTACTTAACACACGTATTATGTATTATGCATATACATTACATTTAGACAAAATAATCTTAGAACATTTCGCATTATCTAATATCTCTTCATCATTTCTTAAGTTTCCATTTGCAAATTATAGTACAAATACTTTGATGTCACTATGTAAAAATTAAGTATGTAAACTCAACAAATTCGCCTCTACCACATTATCATACCTTGACTTTGATCTTATGATAGATAGATTTCTTATCGTTCATATGTTATTACTAATAAAACAGACAGTACTTGAAAGAACTTATCCTTAATATTATAAATGTAACAATTTGTAACTGAAGATATTTGGATGTTTGTTACGCTTAGATAAGTAAATTTTAATGGAATCTGGTCCACATGCAAATCTTTACTTTTATCATACTTTATACTTTTATTCTTATTATATATATATATATATATATATATATATATATATATATGGCGTGAATTTACTGGGTACAGAGGAATAACACCTGAGTCCTCAGGATTGTCGACGCATGGGGAGTATCATGGGCGAAACAGTATACTCTGTTATGTCCATGGTACTGCTCATGTCTATAGGCGACGGTTACCACTTTCCATCAGGTGGGCCGTCAGCTTGTTTGCCATTCTAAGTTGTATAAAAAAAAATATTTATAATCATCTACCTTATCTGTGAGTATAAAAATGAATAATCCATCCAACATGGATATTGGATCAGTCCCTTTAACTTATAAAAAGCTTTTACAACTTGCAGCTCAAAGCTATATATATAATATTCTAAACATTTTTATATCTAAATATTATTAAAACATAAAAATATCATTCTTTAGAAAACTGAAAAATATCGATTTCATATACGTATATATGTTACATACATATCTACGTCTAAATATTTAATCCATCATTACAATGACAGTATCAATAATGTAGATACGTAATTGTGTCCTCGATTTGTAGTAATCATTCTTTTCTCAATCGCCTAATATTTATTTTCTAATAACATTCTTTTTAATTTATATTCAACATTTACATTTAAAATAAGTAGTTTAATATTTAACTACAAATAAAAATTTGCATTATGTACTTTTTTTGTTATAATTTTTTGAACATCATTATCATCATCCTACCCTTATCCCAATTAATATTTGGGGTCGGCGTAATATGTTTTTCTCTTTCATTTTTCTCTATTCGCAGTCATTTTCGCATTCACTCCCAATAATTTTTTGAACATGTCGAGCTAAATTAAATTCTCTACAATAAAATCTCTAGTTAAATATATTAATATTGTATTTGATTAACTAGCGAAAGCTTCTTAAAGTATCCAATTAATTTATATAGAATAAATCCGCTTATATACTAGCTACCATATATACTATATACCTTTAAAATTAGTGTCGTTATGAAATTTTAGAAGGCATTTTTTTAGTATGTACCAGATATTTGTTATATGGTTCTTCGTAACTCAAGGTCTCCTAGCCTGCGTACCAGATGTTTGGTATGAATGTGTCCACCACTAGATTCGTTTTATCTAATCACGATAGAAACTATCCTGTCTCTCCAATTGGAGCAAACAATATAATACATTTACAAAAGTTCATTAAAATCGATTGAACGATTATGATAATCACCGTAAACGAATATCGTGACATGTGATTTTTATATATTAAAATTCTAATAATATAAATATGAAAATAAGTTTTTTTACCTTTTGGCACTATGAGAGCTCAAGTAATCGTTATTATAAACTTTTATTTTTTTTATGCTTATCACGCGAACGTAGTCGCCGATACAGATAGTAAACGACAAAATATGTAAAGTATTAATAATAATACGAATAAATTCTTTCCAGAATAGGTGCTGGACTGATAAAGCCAGTAACAAAAATTATTGGAATAAAATGGACTTTTCGAAATGACAAAGTAATAAGAGAAGACAGAGGAGCGGTTATAGTGTCTAATCACCAATCGTCACTTGATGTTTTAGGTAATTTGACATCTGGTGGTCTACCATGAAATGAAATTCCGAATTTTCGGGCTCAATTTCGTGTTTTCGTTCGTACCGATATCGACCCAGTAAATGGAAACTAACATTTCGTTTATCATAAATCCTATCCTAATAATGCAGAGGAATAATATTTTAACATTTTTTATAATTTTAAACAGCATATATTATGTAATTTTAACATCAAATTTCTGTTTCGTTCGTGCCCGAAATTTCGGAAAATATTTCATGGTAGGCCCTTTTATAAATGAATTAAATGGATAGTGTTAAATAAATCAATGACTTGATCTTGTGGTAAATAGAAGCTACAAAGTCTGTTACGTATTTCAATTCATGTTCCGTGGAAAAATGTCTTACATTTTAGAAATATTGAAGGTAAATTTTATCACATAAATCTATCTTACTTCCAAGTAATGATACAAGTAAAGTTGTTTGGATTTTTCGAAATACACTCATGCTTGAATGCTTTTAAAACAGTAATATTTTACCTAATAAATATTATTTTCAGGAATGTTTCAGTTATGGCATATAGCTAAAAATATGACAGCTATAGCAAAAAAGGAAATATTTTACGTATGGCCATTTGGACTGGCTGCCTACTTAGCTGGAGTTGTATTTATTGATAGATCGAAGGCTAAAAATGCGTACGACACTCTAAAAGTTACCTCAGATGTAATGGTTAAACAGAAGGTAATAATTAATACTATTCATAATGATTCAATCTCGAGGTGAATTATTCCACAATATATGGCAACATCGTTATTACGATTTTAAGTCACATTTATATGGAAAAAAAAAACAATACTTAGCTTTAGTTTTTTCTTAAAAACAGTGATCTTGATAATCTTTGTACTAAATACAATACAAAATTGTTCTTTCGAAGTATCGTTTAGAAAAAGTTAATAGATCTTTTATGAGAATGGGTATTAAATGTTATAAGATACCAACGGTTATTTTAGATTTACTTTTTATTAATTTTAAAACTTATGAAACAAAGCCTAAGATTAATTGATTACTTAACGTGCTTGCTATTAATAGAACATGCACAGGCTTCAAGTGTGCAAGGACCATATTATCTTAGAAATAGTACATTTGGATAAATACATATAATGTTAAAGATTTAAAAAGAGTACAACAGCTAATACGTAAAAAATGACAATTTAAAAGAGTCTATACACAAGTGTATTTAAAAAAAGGTTATTACTATTCTATTCTGGAACACATAGTAGGCTAATATTATCCGTAATATTTTCTTTTATGAATACTAATACTACTTTGATTGATTGCAGTAAATAATAATGTCTGTAACATTAAAAATGTAATTAATAGTTCTGAAAATGTTTCTTTTAGACCAAAATTTGGCTATTCCCGGAAGGAACACGAAATAAAGATTATTCAAACATGCTGCCTTTTAAAAAAGGAGCATTCACCATGGCCGTGGCGGCCCAAGTCCCAATAATACCTGCAGTATTCTCGCCTTACTATTTTATTAATCGAAAGAAACATATATTCAACAAAGGTATGTGTGATAGATGTAATTATTTTATTCATATCAGATATATCAATCATCGTAATAATTACTTCATATCCATACTATTGCTTTTTCTCCATCGTTAGATATATATTTAGGTAAATCTTTTTCACAGAATTTATTTTTCTTGAAGTCACTGCACCTTCTTTTGTTTAATTTGATACATGCAAAAAATTTACATATTTAGTCTCATTGGATACAAACAATACTTTAACAATTATTGATATACCCATAAAGTTTTTACTTACAAATGTATTATCATGATTCAAATTATATTATGGTCTGCATCCTCCAAAACTCAAAGCAAATTTCCTCAAAGATTCAGATATACATACTTATTTCTTTCATACATTACTTGCAAATTGACTGACTAGACCAACAATATGCAATCTATTTTGATGTTACCTAACCTCTGCAAATGCAGAAAATTAACAAAAATATCTACTTTAATATTTTTAAATATACTTGCCTGACCCTTAGATATAGGGTCGTTGTAGTAACAGTGGATCAAGTGGATACACTGAATAGACTCAGTATTAGATAAAAAAAGGAAAGCAACAGTTGTGTTTCTTTCACACTAGATTCACGTTCATACTTAACACTCTTCATGCTTGCCAGTGCCCCGCTCGGAAGCGTAGTACAGTACAAAAGTAAATTTGTCTTTTACGACTAATAAAAAAGAAAAATCCGTAAATTTTGTTGTTTTCTTCTTCCATAGTTATCAATTTTATCTAATAAGTTATATTTTCTACGTAAAAAGCAGTTATTAAGGTCACATTTGACAGTACATTAGGAATAGTCATCACTGTGAGTTTCTGTTATTGCGTCATAAAATTAAAATGGTATGGGGGTGCACAATGAATCGTTTCCAAAGTTGGTTCAGTAAATTGATCCACTGTCAACCTACTAAGATGTTTATGAAACACCGTTATGTAGGAAAATAGATAATCGTACCGAAAGACATAAAAAAATCTTTTCGAGATAAAGATTTTTAGTTATCTGGCTATAAAATCATTTTATCAACAAATGCCTTTTTTATATTATAATAACGAAGGTTATGATGTTAAACGTAATGTAAAACACAATTTTTATTAAAGTCATTAAAAATATTGACACACTTATCTTTTATATTGAAATACCATTTTAATCAACTGTGTCCTCAGGATTCATTTTTTATGTATCCTCTAGGGAAATAGTGGGCCAATATCCATATTTTTTAAATTTATATATTTCAAAAACCATCAGATATATTTAAATATATTTTTGACCACAATGATGCTAAGTAGCCTGCCTTTCTTTCAGTAAGTTTAACATACACAGCTTGAATTATCGAGCTGTATAACTATGAAAAAGTGGCTCACTGTTACCACAACGATCCTATTATTGTTGTATTTAGAAGTAAATATATACACATGGCATGTCGTCCCAGCATAGAATGTGCCAACCAATAAAATGCAGCCAACTTTTCTATTGCCTATTTTCAGCAGTAAAAATTAAAAATTTTACATTTATCCCATATTTATCCAATGTTTCTGTAGAAAATATTTCAATAATAAACTCATCAAATTTAAATTACAGGACATGTTATAATACAATTCCTGGATCCAGAGCCAACGACAGGTCTAACCGAGGATGACATACCAGCTCTCATTGAAAGAGTTCGCACAAAAATGATAGCAGCATATAGGGACCTCGAAAAGGAAGTACTTAACGATTTGCCAGCTGACTATCCTTACACTACAAAAGGATAAGGATATGATTTATATCAAAATGCCGAAAAGATTTATGATGGAATATAAATACCAATGGCTCTTACTAGAGAGTATAAACTATATATTTTAAAGCATCGATATTTTAAATGTATATATATTTTTACTAGGTTCAATGCTCTCCACGAAAATCGAAATATGACGAAACCCCTAGCCTAATATGTAAATCATTGTACATGTATAAATTTGAAACAATACCTATAGTTTTCGAATTTTCCATATGAAAACATGAAATCACAATAGTGTCTGTAGTTTATTATGCTAAGATTAATTTGACTATTCATTAAGTTTTTCTATAATGGTTGCCAATAATTTAATATTATAGTAGAAATGCTATTCTAACCTGTTTTGTAAATGATTTTATAATTAAGATGTTATTTTTCATTTTATAATTATAAATGCAAGATCAAATAAATATATTTTTTAAGGAGACTAACTCATAATGAAGTAGTAGATACTTTTACTTATGCTGTGATAATAGGTAGGAGTCTACGGCTCACTTAGTTATTGCCAGATTTTTTAAAACAAAACTACAATATATATTCCTCATGGACATAAATGACAATAATTATAACGTGTGTGGTCTTTCTGTTAGAGCGCAAACTTAACATCACTAAAGAATATAGTTTTTATAATATACGAAACATAAAATCTTTATCTGTATACTAATGGGCGTAAACAAAATTATTATATTTGTATTATAAAAAATATAACATTATATTTTTATAAGTTACATGTTATATTTATGCTATTTAAGTCAGTCGGTCTATGGAAATCTATGGCGAAAGCTTATGTTCAGCAGTAGACAGATAATGGCTGAGATAATGATAGTTTATAATATTTATAATCAAATTATATGCTCACAATTTAGATGAAAATAATTGCAGTAAAATAAACTACTTAATTATTAACAGAAGTAGTATTTTATAATGTGCGAACGAAAACACGTTTTAAAAATATCCTAAGTTTAGGATTCCAGAACAGTAGCTTTAAAACTAGTTTCAAGTCTCATAAATAATGTAAGCGAAGTTCGTGCAGTTACTATTATAAAAGCTTTAAATTGTTTTTTGTGTATATGAAGGTGCCAAATAAGCGTATGGTCTATCTGATGGAATCTAAACGGTAACTACAACTAATAGATGAATACAATACCTAGGGCTACATTCACACATTATTGACTTTTGTAATACAAAAATTCAGACCATATTTTTTATATTCTTAATCAATATTACAATATTATAATATTGTATATATTTTTAAGGTTTAAAAGAAATGTACAAAATCATTATGTAAATTTGTACAAAAGTTTTACCAGCTTTCATTTGATTGTACCTGTTACTAAACATATAAATTGTTTAAGTAATACTAAGTTTATTTTTTGATAATTATATACCAGTTTTGTAAAAACTTATTTATCTATTATGATGTTTTTTTTCTATCTATTTTTCAATTGTGTTCCAACGAACGAATAACTAATTATTCAAAATCATTGTCAATAGGACAGGTTCTTAAATTAATTATAAATATTGTCAAAATACCTATCACTTACTAACTGGTATACTAATGAAATATTTATGTAAATTTTATAACCAAATAAGTATAAATTTCACAAGATGAAATAATAGTATATTTGTACTACAGATATTTAGAATGGATGTTATTGTGATTGGGAATAAATTTATTTATTTCTTAATAAATAAAAATCGGTATGAGTATCTGTTACAAAATTAGTATAATATTTAATTAAAAAATGTACCCTCCGACCGCGGCGACAGCTTGATTAGACGAGATGGAAACTAGCGTTTTTTAGCAAAATAAAGTATTGCAAAATATTTTAACCACGGCTTAACATAGGTCTGAACTAGCACGGTTCAATTAACTATCTGTAAATATCGACTGCCTAAAATATATTGAGGTCATCTACTCCATCTTCAGAGGTGGTTTTTCTATGTACATTGCATTCATCTATATGGGACTATACTATCTACCTACAAACTAAAATCTTCCTTCCCATCAGTTATCGATTGCTCAAACTCATTTGGCCGGCTCGTTGTCAAATAACAGAATATCTCTTTAATCTATAATTAATAAAAGGTTATGGGTATAGAAATTGAAATTTTGTAATGATCGATAATTACTATAAATACTCCTTTTTTATTAAATACAAGTAACTACAATTTTATATACAAAAAAAAATCAAATTACAAAAAAAAAAAAATAATATTGTAAATAAAATAATAAAAAAGCTCAATTAGACTTATGATTGAGACCCATTATAACGAAAGTGGTCAGTCAAATACTATGTGACACCCACACATAATTTTAGTTAAACAATTTTTCTTAAAATGTTTTACTTTATTTATTCTGCAAGTTTATTCATAATCACAATTGAGATTTTTCATCAAAAAAACAATTATCAAGGTAAATCAAGTTTTAAATCACAACGACCAACATGAAGCAACGATCCTGGTAATATTATACTACCACCACATTGTTACAGTCTTTGTCGTTTTTCATCACTGAAATAACTTGAGTCTACAAAGTTTTGATTGAAAGTTTGATAAATAATAGAGATAGCTGGAATATAGTAATACTAAAAAATGTGGGCATCAACTGAATAAAACACATTCAAAGTCTCTCATGTTTACAGAGCAATCTGTCTTTTAAAGTTATTTGAAAAAATATTAACTAAAATTTCTAATTTATCTTTAGGATTAAGGTATTCAGTACTGAGCCCCCGAATTAGCGCTGATTAATTTCTTATAACATATAAAGTTATAAAAAATAAACAAGAATTAGTTTGAAATCAAATAATTAGCGTATAATTAGTCTATGTGATGATCTATTAAGATATTACTGTATATTCTGTTATGGAATCAGACTTGCGCGTGCTCGTACCGTCTAAATATTTCCACGCTTATTTGAAGAACTTCGGCGTAGATAAATACTTGGCAAGAAGCTGTGGTCGTTTTATCTGGATAATTATGTACTAAAAGAATATCCTTCTGGCAGCACATTTTAGTTTCAAATATAGGGGTTCAATTCCTGACTACGACGATGACATATAGTGACCATCAAAGATGATTGAAAAAAGATCAAAGTGCTCCGTATCAAAGAATCTGTTATAACCTACTTATTACTTCCACGGTTTCAGGTTCTTGATATCTTCGCCAGTTATTTAACCCTACTATTAATACCTGATAAGAAGGTGTTAAATTCAGTTATATTTTTGGGTGCATGGATATTGATATTTTTGCTAATTTGGAACCGATTTTATAACTTCCATTTTTATAATTAAAATTGCTTACTCCCATATCAGTCCCATACAAACTTTTAGTATAAAATTCTACTCTTTATATTATCTATTTTCCGAACAGATCCCATAATTTTGCCAAAAATGGAGTCGGGTTGTTTATTCATCTGAAGTTAAATAGCTAATAACAATATTATCTACCTATCTACTAAATAATTATTCTCTATCGATTTATAGAGGTTGTATTTCTCAACATTGAAACAGTAAAGGCATTCCTTAGTACTTCGCATTAAAAACGATAATGAGAACCGTTTCGTGAGAATGCATGGAATTTCCACTTCACGAGAAGAAAAATGAATTCTGCCTTTGAATAATTCATCAAATTATTCATAGTATATTTTCTATTCATTACATTACCTTCTATATTTGACATAGTCTGATTTTCGTTTAAGAGTTATTTCTTCGCGATATCTACTGAGCAAAATCATAATTCTAGTATCAAATAAAACAATATAGAACATTTGCTTCAAAAACATCGGTCAAAACTTACAAATTTTAGCCTCCTACACTAGAATCAAGATTCTTCAAACTATATTAACACGAAACGTCCTTTTTTTAATGTAGTACAGAAGACTTAAAAATTTTCATCTTATGTGTCTTTGCGACATATGTTCAATTTCACTGGTTAAATGAATGTTCTACTAATCTAAATAAATCCTTAAGAATTCTCTTAGAATAAAGACCAGAGAGAGACTTTGTACAAAAGTCGAATGCTTGGGTACCTCTGTCCCATTCGTGATTCAACCGTGAAGCAGCTGTTTGCATGGCTGTGTTTCGATTTGAAGGGTAGGATATGGCGTGAATTTACTGGGTACAGAGGAATAACACCTGAGTCCTCAGGAATGGCAACGCATGGGGGTATCATGGGCGAAACAGTATACTCTGTTATGTCCATGGTACTGCTCATGTCTATAGGCGACGGTTACCACTTTTCATCAGGTGGGCCGTCAGCTTGTTTGCCATTCTAAGTTGTAAAAAAAAAAGTATCGGTTTTACCTGTATATAATGTAGAGCTTTGCTAGCCATACTCTTCCTACCTACATAAGTGTCTATATATACTACATGCATTACCTACCAAATAAACAAAAACAGAACAATGCAATGCTACAATAAAACGTAAAGTACTAATGTATTCTAAAAGTCCTCCACAATATGCTTCGAAAGAGAGGCATTTATGTTCTAAATCCCTTTATTCCTTTCAATTCATCTACCTCCAAAATTACCTTTTTAATTATAAATACAGCCGCTCATAAATACATAACCGTGAACTCGTTATTTCAATTGTTTGCAATGACTTTGTTGTAGATCTCTTTTGTAAATAATTCAAATAGGTATCTGCATGTTGTTGTAAAAAATACCTTTTATGTTCAAAATGTTATTTACGAGCAGAATTTGAACCTGCATACCGAATATTTAATATTATCACGCAAAATCTTATAATATTAAACCCGCCCTCTTATTCCTTATAACAAGAAACATACGTGAACAATTCGCGAACGATTGCTAAAAAATTGTATTATACTAAAAAATACACTTTTTTAATCATACAATGGGTTAAATCCACTTTTCTATGATAAACAGCGCCATTTTCACTTTAATACCAAAACATGGAATTAATTCATAACAGTAATTTTAGATTCCAAATTGTTCTGCAGAGGAAGAACAAACAAAATGTTAACCAAATGTCTAAAATAAAATTTGGCAATGATTTGTTGGTTGCACTATTCTATAAAAATGACTAAATTCTAAATCATATATTCTTCAATTGTCTTGTTATCATCATGATAACAAGATAACAAAGACATTAACTACAAGATGCTATATCTAGGACAATACACTTTTCCTCTCTTCTACCTAGCCTGCAAAAATACTATTAAGAAATATTAAAAAATATATTGCTTTTCTCTTTGCCTATAGTTTTCAAAATGATAAATTCAAAATAATTAAATTGTATTTCACAAAAAACAGACTAAAAACTAAATGACTGAACCAATTTTGATAAAACTACTATGAAACCGTAATTATGTCCGGAACTGTAATTACATCTTTTCAGATAAAAAAAGAATTTTCTAAATCAATTTACAACTGATGGAGGTATGAGGTGAACAAACGTAAAAAAAATACTCACTACAAAACGTGAAAAATCTTTAATTCATTTGTATTATTTTTTACCTTAGAACTCCAATATCTATCTTAAATTTTCAATAAGCTCATAGAAATTTTATTCAAATTGGTTTAGTAGTTTTAAATTAAAATTTCTTGGCGCGATTAAGACGATGTTTTTTTTAATAGGTGAAAATGGCATGGTAAACCCTCCTGCGCTATCGGTATATACTGGCGGAATACCAGTGAGAGCTGCTAGGTGAGGATGAAAAGGCAGGTCAGTTAGCCCATCGTGACAAATTCATTAGTCACGATAGTTTTCAGGGGGAACGGCGTGGAGATCGACATGATACCCTATCAGGTCGATCTCCACGCCGTTCCCAAAACAATGGGGACTAACCTCCCCATTACTAACAACCCCTTCCTACCAATCTGCTTAGTTAGATACTGAAAATACCAAAATCTTTGGTTACGTATATGATTTGTTATTAATTGTCACATATAACGTCATATTGACAACCCAATTGTGACATTGACAATTATGACATTTGTAACATTGACAAAGACAATCTATGCAAATTATAATGATAAGACTAGACTCGCATCACATTATACAAAAAACTTCTGTATGAAATTATGCAACCTGTTCATTAAATTTTATACTCTTAAGTAGTTAGGTCTATTATCATAATCTATATTTATATTGATAGATATACTATTATCTATCAATATTTATATTTTAGACAGAAAAAGATTATAAATACTTTGTACAAAACTAAATGAATCATTTCTTTCATTAAATCCAAAATTTTGGTACCTCTAGGTGGTTACATAAACAAATTTTCCACTTTCGTCAAATAAGAGCAGTGTCAACTCTTAAATCTAGCAGTGGTTTCTTGTTCTATGTAGCAAGTAAAATTTGTTTAAATCCTTTTTTTACATGTTACATTCTTTCATTCTTCATGATAATGACTCAGACTGTGTAACGCTTAATAAGTGTATCTAGAATTTATTTAATTGTATTACCTGTTGCTATAATTTAATTTTACTTCACAGAATTTATTGTGTGCAAAATATCGATTTATTTCCTTGAAATAAACATTGATTTCAAATTAACCAGTGTACCGCAATCTTAGATTCACGTATAATATGATATTATTTTGAAAATAAGTTTTAAAATAATAATTTTATTTGATAATGTGGCATAAAATCATATACATTTGCATTATTACTTTAGTGACGTACATTTTGAAGCAACTATTTTCAGAAACGCCAAATTTCATAAAATTTAAATCAAAGTTTTTCGTTTTCTACATTTGGAGTTCAATAATTGCTATTGTTTTGCTTCCATTCTTCGTGTTTAATCCAAAAAATGTCAAGAACTCATTGTAAGTACAGAATAGAAGAGATGCTACTTTACTTACACATCTTTTAATTTTAAACTTATTGTATAGAAACCGCAGCTTCACCTGCATATCTCCCATTCTTCTATGATAAATAAAATACAGTCATTCTAACTTATTTTTCTATTCATCATCATAATTTCAGCCATTTTTCTATTAGTAAAAAATATTTAGAGATGCCATGAAATTGCTCCATCATTTCAATCTGGAGTTCATGACATTACTCCCATTGCTTATACATGTTAGATCCAATCAAAATTTTTAGATCATAAATTAAAGAATTATTTTTTATAATCACATTCTACATATCTTGCTTTTATTATATCAAATAACAATCATATTCTAACCCATTTAAGTATTAAATATGCTTTCAGATTTGCTTCACAAATAGTGAAACATGTAACTAAAATATTAGAAGTGAAATGGCACTTAAGAAATGGTAAAGTACTTGCTGAGGACCGTGGGGCTGTCGTAGTATCTAATCACCAATCTACTATAGATATTCTAGGTAAATCAGTTTGATCTGTAAATTGTGTACATGCAAATCCATTTTACTAATCTTTAGGCCTTTATTAATATTTATAAGTATATTAAAATTGACATCAATTTAAAAATATAATAATGTATTATAAAATATCTAAATTTAATGTAGATTGGATCCCAACCATATTAAAATAATTTATTTTTCACATAAGATTTCAATTCTGATAAAGATGTAAGTATGTGGCCAATATGGGAATAAACATTAAAAAGTAGTAGATAAAATTAATTTAAAATTAACTATATTATAAATTAATAGAATGTTATTATCATTATTTAGGACTATTTAATTTTTAATATAATAAAATTAACCAGCAGAATTAATGCAGTGTAATTATTACATACTGATATTATTTTAGGAATGTTTAACATTTGGCATGTTGCGGACAAAGTAGCCGCTATAGCAAGAAAGGAAATATTTTATGTCTGGCCATTTGGACTAGCAGCATATCTGGGAGGAGTTGTCTTCATAGACAGGAATAATTCCAAAGAAGCATACAAACAACTAAAAGTGACTTCAGAGGTTATGATCAAAAATAAGGTATGACATCATAAGCTATCATTATTATAAGGTGTTACTACAGTTTAACAATAACACCAAGGTCATGTATTTATGAATGAGTCTTATTACCACTTTATGCTATGCTAATTATATGAAAACATACTCTTATATTAAGAATTCATTTATTTACTGTAGATAATCCACCTCCACTCTGGTCTCACTTATTAAACAATCAATTAATGTGCCAATGAAGCAATTTTTTTTATATTCGAACATTAAATTATATTGTTCCCATGTTTGGGCTGATCTTATGATCACTCAGATACACTAATAAATGACAGTTTTTTTATTAATACAATATTATAAATAATATATAATACAAACTATTATATCTATATATCTTATTTATGTTAAGTCATTTATTACTTCAAAGTGTATGAGTATGAAAACAAATTAACTGTTATGTATTTATAACTAATATATTCATTACAGACAAAAATCTGGCTTTTTCCTGAGGGAACAAGGAATAAAGATTTTACAAAATTGTTGCCATTTAAGAAAGGAGCATTCAACATTGCTGTAGCAGCACAAGTGCCTATCATTCCTGTTGTCTTCTCACCTTATTATTTTATAAACAGAGACAAGAACATCTTCAATAAAGGTATTTAATTACATAATCATTAGGTAATAAAATATTATGTTACTACTCCTTTTTTGTTTTCACAATGTTGTAAGAATCATCTAAAGACACAAAGCAGTACACCAATGCAAAAGCATTAAAACTCTAAATAAAACTTTATATTTCACCTGATCAAGGTAATAATAGTAAACTATATCTTCCTGTTATGTGGCCCTCCCTATAAAGAGTTACCAAGGCCACACAGTAATTTGGTAATGTAAATAATTATCATATGATATATCATATAAAGTAGATTTTTAATATTCAATGATTTTTAATGTTCATCCTTATTTGTTGCATGGTACAACACAACTACTATATGTGTATCCCGCTCATTTCCTCCTCACACATATTAGTTGTGGAATGATCACATGATGAAAGTCATTAAAAGGCGCTACAGGGCTTTTTAAAAAAAAGTGTGAATTCAGATGGAATTTAGTTCATGAACAGATTATATCCTAAGTTAATACATAGGATACTTTATATAAGAATTCATGTGGGAAAAACTGCAGAAAATAGCTAGTTGTACTAATTTATAATTCATTTATAAAAACCTTAAGCTTTCTTTACTAATCTGATAGTTGAAGACGCCATTTTAGTATAAGAAGCTCAATTTTGTTTAAAGTATTTACAGAGTAGTTATCACAATCTATTATATGTGATAAAAAAATAATAATAAATATACTTAGATACTTTTTAAATACATATATTTGTACATAGAAAACAGAAGTTTTATTGGTTAGCCAATACAGACATACTGATGAATACATATATTTGTTCGGAGATTGAATCTTTAACCATTTAAAGACGAGGTACCATGTTAAACCACTGCACCGTTAAAACTTAAAAAACAAATGTTGTGATATACATTTTTACTCTTTTCTACTACGGCCATATATCTTCTATGCGAACCAAATATATGTTCAAAACTAATTCAAGATCCAAATCATAATTTTGTCGACAAGTACAACTGATAATTCGTTTAAATAAATACCTTTAAAACTTGTTTGTAAGGTTTTATTCAAGGATTCTGTATTCTTAAACAATTTACAATATTACATAACGTTACTTTCGTCGGTCGGTTTTTTATCAAAATAATATTATTAATGTCATAAAATAATTTACACACAAATTATTCATTCCTCAAATATAATATGCTATTTTGTGAGAAATCAAGCAAAAAATCTTGATGTAAGACCCAAGACAATTCAATTCAAGGTTATTTAGTAAATCTTTTTCCTAAAATGGGCCAACCAAAAATCGAACTCGTGACCGCAATTGCAAAAAACAACCGCCTACTGAGTCATGGTCATCTAGAGATATGTATGTATATATTGACTTTTCAAATATTCTTATATGGCGATTAAAAGTAACGTTTTACCGCCGTTTTGCAAGGTCTACCCTTTTACCACCTCTGCGATTTTTCGGCCGTCACTGTAAATAGGTCAGTAATGAAATTAAACCGTAATTAAAATATTTTAATAATAAAACATATTACATCATTTTTTTTTTTATTATTATCATTCTATATAAAAAAAAACGTTAAAATAGATCATTATAATGCTATTATGCAAGTGGCTCGAAATTGTACTTCATGTCGAATATAATAAAAGTCTATATTTAACAGTTGACGATCGATGACCTGTAATCATTATATTTATTGTTCTTAAAGGAACCATTCATTTTATCAATTATTAAATAAATTAGTTTCTGACACAAGCACTAAAGACTAATATGTCCTTGTTGACCATAGATTATTGTACGTAGTCCCCTTAGTAAATTCAATGTATTATAATAGGCAACAGCTAATTCAGTATTTATAGAAGATCATTTGATTACAATAGCATATAAACATGATAATTCTTTTGAAACTGTTTGTTGAATAAAAATACTATTAGACAGTATTTGTTAACAGTAACAACGATCGTATAGAATTTGAATAAATTGCATAATAATGTGGCCCTTGTCCTCTTTAAATAAATATAAGCCGGTGTATTTTTGTTTCGTTTCTCGTGATCTCAACTTTTATATCTTTGAGTTACATTTTAACAATGAAATTACACAAACAACAAATTTTAAAGAAACTATTGTTTAGATTCTATATTAAGTGTGTACTCATTATTAAAATCATTATCTAAGCAGACAGGCAGCGATTTTAGGAAAAGGAGAGTGAATGGTGACAAGCCTGACAAATACCAAAAATTTAGAATGGCTGATCGTCGTCAAAAATATATTTGCCGCTCTATTTAAGTAAATTACTTTAAACACATTTAATCTTTCTCTTGTACTTTCCTTAACACTGTAAATATCTATATACCTACACTACTACTTTTTACCCATAACTAATAGCCACTTAAATGCCGTATAAAGTTAAAAATATACACTAAATTTCTTTCAAGCCTTCAGAAATACAAATGTGAAAACCGCATCCAATTTAATACAGTAGTCTTCAAATTATAAACAGCCAATAATTCTCAAACATATTGTTTTGACTTCTATTGCTCTGCTATCACTTTCAATTTTTCCTAAATATCTTGTGTGTACAGACATCATCTAGTTATTTTTTTTTTACATGTAATGTATGCTATAGATTAAAAAAATTCATTTAATCTTCACACAAAGTAATTTATACATTTCAGGTCATGTTATTATTCAGTGCCTGGAGCCAGTACCGACAGAAGGTTTAACCATGGAGGACGTGCCGGATTTAATAACCCGCGTACGTAACACAATGGATGCTGTATACAAAGAGCTCTCAAAAGAAGTATTAAGTGCGTTACCACCAAACTACCCACTTGCTACAGTAGACTAGATCAATCTACTGACGCGACTATTTATACCCTTTCTATTCTTTTAAGTGCCTATTTTTTGTAATACCGAATTTTTTATTTCGCTGATGAGAGGCAATTTTAAAATGCGTAATGACAATTATTATCATTATTACCTTAAATCTATTAGTTTTTTTAGAATAGATCTAAAAAAATAAAGCTTAAAAGAATAGAAAAGTTATAATTTGCCAAATCCTATAGATTACACTTATTAAGTATTAATATTATAGTATATGTCATTGGTGTATCTTAAATTGTGGTATATGTTAGAGTGTACACCATGATTCTATTAAGACTTATGTCTGAATAATTCAGACAAACATACATGCAAATATCTGTGATTGTACCAAAATTTTATTACGGAATATTCTATATTTTATTAGAAATATTCTGAAACATTTGGGTCAGTGTTTGTGTTTTTTGGGAATCCTATTCAAGTTTCCACATTGCCATTGAACTAGTATCTATATTAGGTAAGACTAATTAATCAATTGATATTAATAAATTTAAATTGACGTCAAGGAGAAAATCGGCATTCGTAAGGAAACAATGTGACTTGTCGAAAAAGAAATAAACATCTTCACAGTACTTAGGTAGATGCGTGTGCGCAACAATGTATGGCGTGTAATAACCATTACGACACAACTCGTCGTTTCTAGTTTGTATACAACGGGTGCACTATTGTTTATAACTTGAAATTGCGTTGTGCTTGCTTGGCGTTGGCGCTGAATATCAAACACTTGAACGCACTCTGTGTTTAAATGCAATCGGCTTTTTACAATAGCGTGCGTGACAGTAAGCACTATGATGGCATAATTAATTAAGGAGTAAGTGTAACATGTATACTTATCAGATACTTAAAAATCAGGTCGGCATAGTATATACTTTGTAACAACATAGATACTTTGTATATTTTTCTTATTATTATTATTGATAAACGGCCTTTTTCAAAAACAAATAACTGCTATAAATACCTGTGACACTGCAACCTTTCCATGATCTTTTGTGCTCGCCCCTTTTTAAAGTTCTAATTCCATATACAAAGTTTATATATTTTATTATTAACTTTGTGACCTAATTTTGTTTTCTTTTATTACCTCCTTAGTCAATCCCAGCAACAAAGCAAATTAAATTAACATATACGAGTATGCATCTCGTATCCAGTGCTGAATTGTTAAAGTCATTTCATTATTTGCCAACCAGAAATTACCAATTAGTCAGGTTTTTTTTTTACTTGTCGACCTGCATTCATCTAATAAGTCTGAGTAATGTGCCACTAAAGGTACCACGGCATTCGTACTTGCTTACTTATTGTTCTTATTACATAACGTACATTAAAAAAGTATTTTTTATGCAACTTAGAATGGCAAACAATAATAAAAAATAATGATAACCGAATATACTGAGTCGCTCATTATTATTTTCAAATAGCAATTTTTTTATAAATTGTCTAATTTTGCTTTCATTATACATACCTATTTGCCTATATTCATTGTACTCTTATATAGTTCTTTTCAAAAAGTAAGGCCAACGAATATACTTTGGAGATCTTAAGGAAAGAAGTATAAAACAATCTTTTTCATAATATTTAATTTACGTATGGATAATAAGTAATTTGTTTAACCAACTTTGATCTCAGAAATTTATCTCAAATGTGCCAACCACAATGTACTTTAATCGATTATTATTATTTTATTAAGTATTACAGACATCAGTATAAACATAAGTATTTTTATGTTTAAGTTTAAATATTTAAAAAAAAATCCATTGCAACCATGTATCCTAATATATTTTTTTGTTATATTCAGTTATATGCATATAGTATATACATGCAATGTCTTCAGCTATGTTCATATTCGTAGTATATACATGACTCTAAATTCTTACAAAAATGTAATTAACATTTCTAATTATAACACAATCCCTAATGCTTGAACTTGTAAAACTAATTGGTAATCCTCAAAATACTTATATTTTACAGTATCAGTATTGTTAATGTAGGATTTAAAAAATTGACTGAATGAAATATAAATAATTTTGTACCGAATTTTATGATCCTAGTCATGTATACCTTATTAGCTGCCAATTCTCTCTAACATTCTGTCTAACATTTAAATATAAATTTCAACCGGAAATTATCTCATACCATTTACCTGCATCTTATTCAATATCGGTAATTGTAAAAATAACACTAACAATACATTTCGCTTCGCAAAAAGCTGCTTTAAGAGCGTTCATAAAGAAATGTGGCAACATCGCAATTATCTGTATATATTAAGAATTTTCTATATTTTTCATTGATTATTTAAAAAGTACTCTACCGATGAACTAAAACGTTAATCATACAATAATATCCTTATTGAGCTGTTACTAAAAGTTTGGATTTTGATGACAAAAATGTATTTGAAGAATTTCGATGATTACGTGGTAGTTCACTAACAAAGCGCTTTTTAAATAATCAATAAAAAAACATTGAAAAATATTAAATCGTTTTTGAAAAGTAACAAATAAATGCGACGTTATCGCACTAAGGTAAACAGGCAAGCACATACATGAGTATATAAATTTATAAGCGATAATCTTATATATAATTTATTCGTGAACACACTCACATATGAGCGACAAGATGTTTCATATACACATTACATTGACAATATTTAAATTTAGAACGCAGAATTCCATGTCTGCTTTACGACAAAAATTTTTTACTATATTGGGTCTTTTTCTAACTAGAAACAGTAACTGATTCTATTATTACTAAATGTATATAGGACAAACACAGCAGTAATCCTAATCGATTTCAAAACAGAAAATCGTTTCAGCATTGACGAAGTAATCGCGTAACATATACATAACCATAGAAACGAAAACAGACGAATGGGTAACCTGCTTCGCTATTGGAAGCCCTTTAAAAAGAAATTAATATTTTATTTAAGTAATTATTTGTATGTATATAGCATGACCACACTCGATACTCACCTCCTCACTATAACTCAAAATATACCGTTCGAAAAAAAAAACTACGCGCTCTATATACCTACAGACTTGCTAGTGTATAGACATCGTTTTATAAAAAAAATGTATGTAACTACACTATTCCCTTCAAATATTTTGTTATAATTCCATTTTACTGCTTTTAAAAGATCTTCATAAGTTAACATCATAAAACTGACTTAAAATAGTAAATTCTCAATTATACTATTTTTGTATACCATTTTCATGAATCTTTTTGCAGTCGATAGTGTTTAGTCCCGCATACGATGTTCGTTCACGCTAATCTCCGAAACCGGGATACCGATTTTACTGAAATTTTGTAAACGTTTATAGTTTTCTCCAACTTGGAGATATCGAGATAAGAAAAAATGATATCTAAATATAAATATATATATTAGTGATAGAGAGTAAAACAACGTTTGCCGGGTGAGCTAGTAATAACAAAATTTGACGGAAGATTGACACCTTTTTTTAAGAATTCAAAAAAATATGTAAATATTTAGGACCAAAGATTTCATAGCATCATCTGACAATTTTAAAATATTTTATAGAATTGTACTCGAATAAAGTGTGTACTTTCAAATAAATGTTAGTATGTGGTCGAACTAATTATCTCCTTGATTCAATTTTATGTATTATGTTAAGTATCTAAAGTATTAATTTATCTCTTAATGGTAACAGATTAGTTCTAAAGATATAAGTAGTGAATATCTATTCTCATAGTAACATTGCCCTTTCATTCATACTTAATGGTTTATGAAAAATAATTAGGTTTTACTGACAACTATTTGTGATTATAGAGAATGTCAATAAATAATAGGAATGTTATAGAGAAAAATACTTTCCTTCATACTCAGTGATTTATGGATAATTTAGTTTAAACGGCAACTAAAAGGAGCCAACTGTAAACATCTGTTTAACATGATCTGTATGATATTTTGTCACACATCAATATTTATAAATTTCTATAATCGTACAGTGCAATACTCATGTCGATTCTATTTCAGTCACTCGTTTAACTAGTAGCCATTTTTTAAGTTCAAATACTAGTCTGATAATGTTTGTATACACATAATAGTTAAATAGCATATTAAGTATTAGTATTTATCAACCGACCTTAAAAAAGGAGGAGGTTCTCAATTCCATTGTATTTTTTTTATATTTACCTTATAACTTCACTATTTTTGAACCGATTGATAAAAATTTTCAAATAATCTCTAATGTAATTAATGTCTATATTATTATATACTTACTTACAATTGCAATTTTTATATGTGGTAATTTTTTATATGTAAGACAGGAATTTTAGCAATGTCTTCATGGTCTTTGCGAGCTGCAGCCCGCAGTGTGTGAGGGGAGACGCTGCAACGTAAAACACCGTACTCACTCTGACTAAAACTTTCGGATAAAATCGAAACAATTGTCAGAAATGACAAACGTAGTAAGTTCATAAAATTCCCGTTATACATATTTATACCTAGACATAGTTTTAAAAAATAACATGTGGTATCTATAAGGATCCTTATATTCAATATTGGACATTGAAATGCTTCAAAAAGATGTATTGTAAATAGAAAGTTCATTTATTTTTAATATTGTATACCTACATTATGAACTGGGTACAATTAAAATTGTTTCTAAAAAACATTGTTTCACGGCACAGCAGTTAAGGTGGTTGATCACTAAACAAAATTACACTCAAAATACTAAATGGCGCTAGTATCGAGACTTATGGATTTTGTTGATTATGTTGTAGTTAAAGATAATTTGAGGCAAATTTTCTAAATTAGCGAGTGGTTTTATTTATTTTTTACTGATATAGTAAAAAAAAAATTTATTATTTAAACATAATTTATATTTTACAAGTTGTACAGCTTTGTAAAAAAAGACACACTAACAAGAGACATTGCGATTGTGTGAGTTATTATTAATTCAGTGAAATATTGAGTATTATCTGTCACTTTACATTCATCCATAATAAAAACCACTTGCTAATTCCAAAGGCAACTGGTATTTTTGTCTAATTTTGTTTAGTGACCAACCACCTTAAAATGAATACTTACTCGTATATAAGATGAAATCGAAATCATTATGGTCTTTTAAAGTAGTATTCTACTAATAAAACTGAACATTTTCACCAAGGAACGCTCCATAACAATAAAAAAATCCAACTATTAAGTTACTATGAGAAACTCCATCATATTTGTCATTTTTGAATTTTGATTCACGAAATTTCTATCCTTATACCTATATTCTATATATTTTTCATGGATAGTTTCTTAGTTTTACATATGGCTAATGATTTTAGCTTCACCTTATAAATATTTTAAATTATCCAGCTGTGCTTTAGCTGAATTTGCTATATAATTATTTATATACATACACACAAACTCAAATTTGTTTATTCAATGTACATTGAATGTGCACTTTGAAAACAACTTTATTTAATCTAATTTTAATTATTGTTTGTAATTGTATTGTTCGAATAATATACTCATATGTATAATCTACAAGAATAATATATAAAAATAATATTCAAATACATATTGTGATAAACGGTAGATGTATCTAATTGTATACTGTGTTATTTTCCAATACTGTGTTATTAGAGACAAACAATGAAATATAACGTATTTTTCGATATTTTCGTTATTTGTAAGCCTTTAATAAAAATTCACAGGATAACAGTTTTATTTTTTTAACCGATACTATATTTGTAACAAAACAAAACCTATATAGTGAATTTGTTCCTTTTGATAACACCTACACTAAACGGAAGTTCATTATTTTTTATATAAGAAAACGTAGGGTTGCCTATAAAAAAAGACCGCAGTAAGCTTTACCACCCGGCAACCTTAAATTGCATTAGAGCAGGCAGTCCGGGTGCATTGTATTACATTTTCGGTAATCTTTTATTAAAATCAAGTTTCATTAAGTCTTATACTTGCCATAGTCAGCGACGGGATTTAAGCTACAAATAATACATTACCAAATCGTCAAACATTAACTAAGCGGTGTAATTTTATTCTTGATTAGTTGTTGTTCGCGTAAATCACCTGATTTAATTACTACCTAGTAAAGATGTGGGCGATATGAATCATATTAACTTGTTCTGATACTCCTTTTTAATATCCGTCTCGTTTCGTGCTTGTTAATGACATAGGCAACAATAGCTTACCAAAATTAAAGAAAAAAGTATATATCATATGTGCAAAGCTTAAATTATATAGAGCATCGAGTGTCAAAAACACTGTCATTTAATCAGTTAATTTTTTTTTTTTTTTAACGTTTGTTCCGTTTGGAACATTCGGAGACCATTGAGTCTTCAAAAAGATAATTTGTCTGGAATAATTAATCAGTTAAATTGACTTGAAGCCGACTCAATTTGACACATTTTTTTTTTCTTTTGTGCTAAACCAAAACAATACACGCCATTTTTTTGTGTTGCTAATAATCAAATTAAAATTACCCTAATCGGGTCGATTTCTTGTATTTATGTATTGTATTTTTGTATGTATGTATTGCTTACAAATATATGTACATGTATTAATTAAAATGGCGGCCATGATTAATGATTTAAAAACAAAAACATATTTTATGTCTATATTCAGAGATAAATCAGTGAAGATAAGCATCATTACTAATCATTATGCACTATTTACCTTGTTATTTTAAAATGTTTGTAAAATTCTGTATCGTTTTTATTTTTTTAATCTTACAATATAATGTCTCCATATATTAAATAGTAAACATACATTATGGTAACAATATTGACGCACACATAGATAAAAAAATTCTTTTGTTTTTGACGAAGCATTTATAAAGAAAGTCTATATCTATATAATCTAAGGTGCTAAGTTAGGATCTGTGGTGAAGATATAAACTACCCATGTAACCAAATTTCAATAAAAAATTCATTTAACCATTTAACCGGGATCGAATAACACAAACCTTTATAAACTTTTACCTTTACTATACAAGCAATTAATTTATTTAAGTATACCTAGTTAGAAACAACGTGATCTTTATCTGCTTTCGACACCTGGCCACTTCTTACGGTCTTCATATTTTTATTAACGTTAAAAAACTGTCTAGGTAAAGGTGAAAGCTAATAATTTATGAGCACAAATACTTTTGGTATAAACATGTCTTGGCATCGTTTTAAATCGGATCCAATATCATCCTATTGCCCTAGTTATTTAATGCCTATACCATCGGCTAAATTTCATCAAAATAAAACATTGATAAAAGTCATTTGCTTGGGTACCTCGGTCCCACTAGTATTTTCAGCGTAAAGTTTCTATGGCTGCGTAGTTGTTTTGATTTTAGATATGGCAGTGATATTATAAAATATAGAATAAAATTGAAATAATCTTTTTTTAAATAGAATTGTTTACAAGCTCCTTTAAATCGTCTAATATTTTATGATTCTACTGCTGGATTCAGAATATTGTTATCTGCTGAAAAGAACCCGCAAAAAGTCACCAATTACTCTTTTCAATTTATTTATATATAAGATAATTTTACATTTGTATCTGAAATATTACCATATTTAGTAATAAGTTATATTTATGTTACTCAATGTAAAGTAAAAAAGTAATTTTAAGCAGACCTGTCTTCACAAGCATCACCCGTTCACGAGTATGACGGATGAGCCAGCCGAAGATTCAGAGGCATAACACCATATCCCGGGGAAAGAAATTCTTAATAATGCAAACGGCGACCCATTGTTAGCAATACAACCTGTTAGGTCAACCTCTACATGGTCCTCCCTGGAAACCATCATTGTTAATTCTTAATAAATTCGTCACTATGGATTAACTGACTTGCTTTCATCCTAATTAGTGCCTCGCCGGCGTATTATCTATTTAAAAACACTATAATCGTCAACAATAGCAACAGGTGAGAACTACTATCAGATCAAAATATATTCTGTAATATCCATATATAGGCAACAATGCAGGTAAATTTGTTTCATCCCTTTTGTTTCTACCAGGTATACCAACAAGAAAACAGTATATTTTAAAATTTATTTATTTATAAAATATATACACAACAACACATGTAAATAGAAATTAAACGCCAAAACTAAACTTTACAATGTAAGTATTTATCACAGCTATTCAATAGTATCTAAAATCTTTCTCAAATAGGTACCTGAAATGGAAAACAAAGAAGTATGTTTAGTATATAGGAAACTAGATAACTGTACGGAACATAGCGGAATATAGTCATTGACCCAGATTAGTATAACGTAGGTATGACCTAATGTCATTCTTCGTCCCAAATTTCTTAGGATCGGTTGAGCCAGTAAAAAACAATCCCACTGTCACATCACAAATATAAGTGGGATGATGCTAACGATTCTAAATCTAATAATTTTGTAAATTCTTTACATACGAACTAGATACCTGATAATTATTATGTCTCACTTATTATATATTTCAGCCCAAAAAATAAAATAGCACCAACAGTTAATCATAATGAAATTCCAAAATTATCTTTATACAATTTTGTCTTTAAATTAGACGTGTATTTGTTTAAACATCACGTTATCACTATTTAATACGGGTGTAGAGATACCTGTTATATTGGGCGCATTATGTATTGTTTGGGGTAGAACTAAATCAGAAAACGTGGAACAAATAAAATAGACAAACTAAGACTGCTAATTTTATTATAGTCTATTAAAATGTAATTATAACCAAACTAAAAACTGATCTGACCATAACAATCTGCTGATGCCCAATAGTGGTACAAATTAGAAATCTATAAATTAATTAAATGTTTCGATTAGTTAAAAATTTCATTTATGTTTTCTCTGTAATAATTTCAACAAAACTGGGTTACTTTTTTATAAAGTTCCATTGAAACAGACTATATCTGCTATTTCATCTAATGACTTTTGAATGGTGAAAGTAGATTAGTAGGTACACAGGTCACCATAAGTTGTACTTAAACACATATTGGGGACGATTCTGAATCATCTTTCTCTATCCCTAAAACAACAATATTCAATCCTCTTTATTCAGTTGTGTCCCACCAAAAGAACTTTTTGTAGTTTTTGGCAAGAGCAATATCTATTCTTTAGGCAGCACTGACGGAGATTCTGTCTCAAATTACCTACTCATTCCTCCTCTTTTTCATCCAAATTCTTTTCTGTGCAAACAATTCGTTTTTGAAACTAACTCCATACTTCTGTACGGTGCGCTCAATTCACAAATATTAAAAAAAAATTATATTCCATTACATATCCCTATAATCACTTGGTCCTCCTTAGTTCTTACCGAAATTAATTAAATCTATAGTACACTGTAAGACATCGCATTCAATTCTGGTATACTTGTATTGTAATCGATTAGCTTACTCTATGAAATTAGATGAAATTATATGTGTTAAATTTATACATATATTACTGCAATTTCATTTCATTGCATTGCATTTCATTTCACAGAGTAAACAGATCAATTGCAAAATAACTAGTTATAATAAAAATAACAAAGTTACCTCAATTAATCAGCCTTAGCATGGAGGACTCGTCTTGAAGCGGTTTCCGCCGTCGTCCTCGTGAATTCTTCTTGCATTTTGAGCTGAGCGTTATCCACCAGCGTCTGAATGTCTTCTTTTGCTACACCTTCAGTCTCGATCAAAGGTAGTATTGAAATGATAACTTCACCTAAAATAAAAATAAAAATTTTGTTTATATATCTAAGTCAATGACTGTGAAAATGGAGTCATTTTTTTAACCTTATGCAAATAAATTTGTAATATAGATCACACATTATTCCCTAAACAGATTCTTCTAAAAACTTACTATGAAACATACACCAGTTTTTAAGTTGGACACTCGGACAATTTTTCAATAATAAAACAAGAAACAAACAAACTAAGAAAGTCAACTAAAAAATAACTAATTTGAAACCCAAAGTCATTCTAACCTTTCCCATTGATTCTCACTAAATATATAATGTACCTAATGATATTAACACATTCCCGTAGTAATAAAAAAGGATAAAAATTTAGTATCTATTTAAATATAAATATATATGAAATTATATTATACTATTTAAATAAATGAAGAAAATGTTAAATCATAATTAAATTTCAGAAATTAATTTAATAGAAAAGATATTTCATCTAGGCTTAAACTAATAGATCTTATACTAGACAGGTGATAGACGTACTCATGTACTTTTTTAAATACCTTTTTTTTTATGCAACTTAGAATGAGAAACAACCTAACGGCCCACCTATATATATAATACCTATGCGTATTCACATACACTATAAAACAAACAAATCACTGATGAATACCAAAATGGTAGTACTGTTAAAAATCATAATATTTGTGTTATTCGGGGATATTTTTACCATCATTTACATATTACGAATAAATTATTAGCGACACGTAGTACACAAAATTAATTGAATATTAATTATGTAGTGTATCTTTTTTTCTATTCATACCTATAGTACAATAACTTGAGTGAAAATATTGTTTTTTCTATAAAATTCATATTATACGGATACCTATGTCCCCTTTAAGAAAGTAAATAGAGTTCATTCACTATAAATTAGTAATAAAACTTGAAATAAATATAAAATATTAAAGGGAAAACTTAATAATGTGTTTGTTGTTAAAAACGATTACTCAAATACTTAAATATTCTATTGAATAAAATATTATATATAAATAATAATATGTATTATATATAATAAAATTAATAGACAATTCAAACATTTCTTTAGTACTAATGAAATCATAAATATCAACTATACACGTCATAATATATTATATTGGCGTTGTTATTCAAACAAACACTATAAAATCAAACCCATATATCAAGTAGGAACAAAACCGGTTCATAATACCGGTTTGGTACTTACCTGACCCAAAACGTCGACGTTTCGCATCCAGAAAATGATATTTAGAAACAACCACAGGTTGTATGGGTGCATTAGCATCCAAGGCCACGTGGAAGGCGCCCTTTCTGAACGGTAAAAGTTTATCGCCAGAATGTCTCGTTCCTTCCGGAAACAGCAGTAATTTACGCTGAAATCAATAAATATTGCCAGTTAAAATATCATATTACATAAATGTCAAGTTATTGATTAAATTATTTTAACTAAATATGATTTTATGTTGATAAAACTAACCGAAGTTCTCCACAAAAATCTATATTGTACAACAGACTATTTATATAATTTATCATAATTAATAAAATACCCATTACGCTATCACATTGTAATAATTACTAATTTCAAAGTAATACATAATTCTTATATAACTAAACCACAGAAGTAAACATTTTCCAAGATTAAAATTAAGTACATTTGATCGCATTTTTTTCTATTATTAATCTAATATAAAATATTGTGCACGAATAGGAGTCGTAAAAATATAAAAACGTTACCTACCTAGGGTCAAACTGAAGAATGTGAAGGAAGCGAAAGACGTCTGTTTAAATCGGAGCATTTGGCGTTCCATTTTTTCTGTATAACCCAATTTGAAACAGGCGTGACAGATATATATGTACGAGTATGTAAAAATTTAATATTGAATAAAAGCACTTATTTAATAAAGATAGGTACATAGAAACTCTAGGCTTGTATCGTAGATACAATTATTAAGTAGGTACTTAAGAGTCAAAAACGGCCGTTGTTCGAGAGTAATGAACTCTACCTGTATTCAATTTATCAAAGTAGAACGCGACACAGTTGAAACTAGGCTTGGCATTTGAAATTAAAATTATGTCATGTTAGGCACCTAAATCGTTTCACAGTTTCGGAGACCCTTTAAATGCATCACAGCTTACATAGAGATTTTTAGCACACGGCCCCCTTTGCCTTAACTGCCAATTTCATTATTTATTATTATACATATAATTATAGACGACAGACCTACGAAATACTTACTAAAATATAATAAATTTGTAATTAGGTGATATCTGTATATATGAAATATTTAAGATAAATTGATATGAAGGGTCTTAATAAGAGCAATAGAAGCCAAAGCAATATTTTTTTAGAAATTTTGTTTGCCTGACCGTCTGTCTTTATATTTATTCCGGCAATACATAAAAACTACTGCATCAAATTGTATGCGGTTTTCACAGTTATGTTTCTGATAATATAAAACTAATGATTCATATTCATACGCCATCTACAAATAAATAATATAAATTATAAAAATATATGGCAGTGTGGTTCCGGCATAGAATAGGCCACACCTTCCCGTAGGTGTCGTAAGAGTCGACTCAAGGAGGGCGAGCGATGGGCAGCAGCGTACCTTATAAAACATCTCTAAAGCCTGACTGCAGTTGCCAGTCCGCCTGCCAAGCGTGACAACTACTGGCAAAAACCCCCCAAGGGAGATCCTTAAGTTCAACAGTTGACAGTTAAAGGCTAATATGATGATGATAAAAATAAAAAAGTAAATATAAAATGCAGGCACCTACGTATAAAGATTATTGAAATGTAAATAATTTATTTGTTATTTCAAGCACATAAATTTATCTTAATTCTACGTGACAGTCCCAAGGAGTTATCATTTTTAGGTAATATTGTATGACATTGTGATAAGATTCAATGTTATTTCAATTGCACCGATGCTTTTTATTTAATTACGCTCGTATCCAACTAACGACTGATGAATAGGTACGGCATGAATATCATTATTATTAATATTTTAGATAAAGCTATCACCGAGCTACCTGCGTCTTAGCGACTCTGCAACATTTTTGAGATAGTCACATCATCTTATGGGAAGTCGTCACACAGAGTTTGTTTGTAAAACTGTACTGCGATAATACCAGTTTATGGTAGTTTTTTTTTTTAATGGATAATAATGGAATTATTCCGTGTGGTCCCAGCATATAATTGGCCACCCCTTCCATTCATGTGGGTGTCATAAGAGGCGACTAAGAGAGGACGAGGGATAGGCAGCAGCGTTCCTCTTAAAATATCTCCAAAGCCTAACTGCGGTTGCCAATCCGCCTGCCAAGCGTGACAACTACTGGTAAACGCCCCTCTAGGCGGAGGCTTATGTTCAACAGTGGGCAGTTAAGTGCTGATATGATGATGGAGCCGCCTGCGCTAATGATACACGCTAGTGCGGTACCAGTGAGGAATCATCGTCACCTCACTGGTACCCCACCAGCGTATATGGATAGCGCAGGCGGGGTTACCTTTCCATTATCACCCATTGAAAAAAATACTACCATTCTGGGGGGAGGGAATAACTAGCAATGGGGACTAACAACATCCCTATAAGGTAGCAATTGCCTGTCCCATTTCTAGCAATATATCCTAAAAGGACGATCGCCACACGGTCTCTCCTGGTGATGACGATAATGGTAAGTGGTACTGATAATATGACTAAAAGGGGCTATTTAAAAATAGCTAAAGTTTTGAATAACAAACAAGAATATACATTATTTTCTACTATTGAATTGAATAAACAGTTATGACTGTCCTATGAGCTCATCAAACACGTAATTCTAAATGCTATTGTATATGTAGTTAAAACTTTAGGGTATGTGGGCACTCGTAGTTGTAAATAGGAAACAAAGTACTATTTTAAATAATATTATATAACCGATAAATAGGTAAAAATTCCCAGGATCCATAGCTTTTTATATTATGATTTATGAACTAAAACAGGTATAATATATTTTCTTTAATGGAGTGCCAACCCCACCTGCGCTAACGGTATTCACTGTCGAAGCACCAGTGATCGATGATAGTGATGAATACATCCGGAATTCAACACGAGGGTTTCCAGGGGGGACCACGTGGAGGTCAACGTGATAAGGTATATTGATAGCAATGGGATTGGTAGTCCACATTACTAACTATCCCTCCCCCCTCCCTACAGGTATAATGTTGCCATATGTCAACTTCAAACTCTAATGAATTAATGTATCATGGAAACTCAACGCATTAATGATTATTTTCTCAGTTGTAATCAAATATATTTTTTGCAAAGTTTAACCTTCTATGAAATTAATAACACAGACCATAATTGAAAATTTACACGATAAATTGCTCGAAAAGAGAAGAAAGGAAAGAGAGCTCTGTCAAATAGGAACAGGCGTACCTATTGCCACGGCTAACAATATACCTACCTACCTACCTGAGCAGTATAGGTACGAACGGCGCAGACGGGATTATTATTATATTTTCATTCATTAAACAATGTCACTTATATGCGCGTAAAATGCACATCTAGGCAATTTTAGTTATATATGAAATGAATAAACATATAAGAAACTTTCAATATAATTGTTTTGAAAACATAAGAAAGGCTCAATTGATATGCATAGTCAGATATGTTGATTACTACAAGTATTATACGTACAATAAAAATGTTGATTATACCAGGATATAGACTTAAGTCCAAATACAAGGTTGCGACGATAAACCTACATTTCGGTATGAATAGGAACACTTTATAATTTTGAAATGCAAATACAATTTATCAAATATACGTCTGACAAATGAAACTTTTTTTCTATTGCTTTAAATCTCATGCCTGTTCAAAATACTCCAATCGCAACCCAGTAGTAGTATATTAAAATAAATTTATGTTACGCCATTATATACCGTTTCAAATCCGGCATGAATATTAAAAGATTAAAACCTTTGATTAGATTTTAAATGACATATTCCAAAGATTAAAAGTTCCGTAACAAAATAGATAAGAGACACTTTACAATTATGTACTATATATTTCTCTTTTAAATATATATCTTCATCTGTCATTTTGCACTTACCTATTTAAGCCTAATTTTCATAAAAAATATGTAGAATAATAATTTCGCGCGATTATATAGAACATTTTTTTCATCGCATCACAACAAATGTCGTTGAAATTAATCGTAGGGAAAATCTGTACAGTATTTTTGAATAAAAATTATTTAAAATAAAAAATAAACGAATAATTGAACCAAGCATAGTCTACTGATTTCCAATAGCAGTATAAATCGATTAATTAATTGAATATTTCCAATTGATCACTAATTTCATTTAGAGAGTCTCTGTGATAATATCAACAGAACTTGGTTACTTTTTTATTGATTTCTATTGAAATAGACTATGCAAATACAAAATCATAAATTTTGGACCCACCAACAGCAGATATAACTTATTGAGGAAAATCTTAGATATAAGTTCTTAATTTACTTATTATTCAGATATTGTTAATAATTTATTAAATATTATAATAGTGCATGTGGTGTTCGCCTGTAAAAGACTTTTACATTAGGCAAAATTATTTTTTGTGTAATAACACACCTAATAAAGTAGCATGTAAAATGTAAAAGTTGTATGTGAACCTTATTAAATAAATAAATAAATAAAATCATCTACTTTAGAATACCTACCTCACTCCTGTTTCCACTGCCAAACAACTGTGCTGAATATGGCAGTGTAATTAGACTGAATAACACATTAGTCCTCAAGTATGACAAAGTATGACGTCACAGCATTGTTCATGTTTATAGACAAGGTGACTGTTACTAATTTGTTACCAAGTGGGCAGCCAGTAAAATTTCTCAATGCAAATCATTTAAAAATCTTTTATTTTGATGCGATCTGATATAATCCGTGACTGTTCTAATCAGGTATTTATTTCAATTGCAGAGGTATGAGCAACATAATTTTAAAATATCAAACAGTTATACAGAATACATATAATCCTGAGAGTGTGTTTGATATACACACGCTTGATTGATTTTTTATATTATCACACCCAGATAAGTTGAATATTTTATTTTGGTGCTTACTAATGAGTACTTATACTCAATATATGTCGCAACGTCTATCTAATCTGTCGCGGATATATATTGCTCCATTACAATTATTAAGCCTTATAATATAATTATCTACATCGGCACTTGAAATCAAATGTAAATACTTTATATCGTACTGAACGAAAGAAACAAATAGTGCCACGTGCCTATATATAATGTATTTAAGGCTAAGAATATTATTTATACAACGAAGACGAGACAACATAACTTTGTATGCATATCGAACTAAAGAATAGGAAAA